AAGTGTATCGCAGAGTTATATTCGGAAAGAATAAACCAGTTTTATCAAGTAAAGACTTGTGTCGTTAAAGTTTCGTTGGAACGAAGTTACGGAAAAATCAATTAACAAACGGAGACGTAACAATAATTTGTCTCAGAGTCCAACCAGATCAAGGAACAACAAAGAGCTAACCAGGCACAAAATGGACAGGAATTGCCTGAATTAATGAGGCGAAGTTCAAGTGGGAATACTCCATCAACCCCAAATGAAAAACAAAAGTTCATTATTTGAGGAAAATCATTCATGATTCCATGGGCTTATTGATAGAATACCTTATACTATGCTGATTGACACTGGTTCTTAAATTACAATTGTTCAATCCAATTTTTTTAATGAAAGGTGATAAATTGCCTCCAGAGATGGATAAAAAAGAATAGTTTGTGTGAAAAGCAGGTAGACATAAGGCTCCAGCAAAGGAAAGGTTGAAAATTACCCTTACTATAGGAAATTTCTCTATAACTCATGATGTGTGTCTAATTGAAATTGCGTTAGGATACATATTGGGAAGTGACTTCAAACAAAGACATAGATGCGAGGTTACACTAACTTCAAATACTTTCGCAATATATAACCAAGAAATTTCTATGTACTACACGGTAATTACTGAGACTGAACTTTCAGTGACAACAGGAGGGGAGGGGTCATCGTACCACCAAGAAGTCAAATATTTATGCCAGGAATTATCAGCAATAAATCAAGATCTGGTGACTGGGGCAGAATAGAACCAAATGCTCTGACGTGTCCTGATGAACTGATGGTTGGAAGAGTTCTCGTGGATTGGGATAATAAAGATAACATACATGACTTTACTCAGGAAAGATTTACTTGTGATAAATCCAGATTTCATCAATGTGACACTATACGGCTGAACAGTTCTTATCGCAAGAAAAGATAACTACAAAGCTAATTAAGTAGGTATTCAGAAGGGCCATCCATCATACTGAAGAAAATAAATGATGTGGATTACAGAATCGAGAGAGACAGACAAACCTGAGGGATTGATGGTTAGAAGAGCTCCAATACATGTGAAGAATAACAATGTAATCGACCACTTTATTCAGAGAAGATTTAGATCAGCTTATGATTAAGCAAAATGTCACTATGATGTTAGTTCTGGTAAAGTTGGATTTCTTCAAGGTGATATGGTATGGCTGAACAGTTTTCATCATAAGAGAGACAAACTACAAAGTTAATAGGTGTTCAGAAGAATCATTCATTGTACAGATTCAGGAAGGATATGCAGTCCATGTCAAAGGTCATCCACTGTGATAGTCTTTGAAAGTACGTTGGTAAGAGAATGTCCAACTGGGTAACTTCAGACAAGAATTTTCATGCGAAAAGTTGGCGTACTAAGGAGTCAAAGGTTACTGACGAGGCCACTTCCAAATGATCAAGAAGGATAGTTGCCAGTGGATTCACTCAACCACCTACCTAAGAAGAACTACCCCAGACTGACAACTGTGCACAAGTGTATATTATAGTAGCCGGTAGGAAACATAAAAAAATAAAAGTAATTTACATCTTTATGTGTACTGGAGTTTACTGTTACTAAATAATCCAAAAGAACCAACCCAATGATAGAACATATTTTTGACAATGTCGTGGTAACGTTGTTCTTTTGTTGAATGGGTTCCTTTAAGTTATTTGCTAAAAACAAAAGGAAGTCCAGTTCACGTAACAAAAAATAACTACATTACTTCTTCAATAAATGTTTGCTACTTGTAGGTCTAATTTCACATGCAATCTTTCAACTGAAATTTCGAAACTAAAGGTCCTACATTTAAGTTTTTAACTTACTTAGCTTTGTTCAAACAAATAACTCATTGAATACCAGATTAGACGATAACTCTCATCACTAACTTTGAATAATTTTTCTGAAACTGAACTGAACTCAGTCGCCATTAGTTACTCATATTTATATGAACATATTACATGGACCTTCTGAATTCTTAACTTTCATGAACTTTGTAGATCTTAGTGTGATCCTAATGACAAACTCCCTCTAGCAAACATCCAAATTAAAACATTTCATCTTGTGAATTTTTTTCACTTGTCTTAGGAATTTCTTTTAGGTTATAACAATCTTGATTTTACACTTAGCTTAATATTCCTCTTTATTTGATTTTTTATTGAGCGTAAATAAGCATATACAGACAAAATAAAACATAAAATTAATGAAAAAACTCAAATTACAAAAATATGCAAATTAAATAAAAAATATCCCTTTAACAATAGTCATGTGTACATACACACATATCAAAAAAGAATATATATGTATATATAACTCTTCAGTACAGATCACCTACTTCCTTTAGTAGGGAGTGGTTAATAAAATTAAATGAAACCCTTTAATTTAACAAAGATTTACTTTTTAATTGGAATGGGATGCAAATATATTGTTACGACAGCGGAAGTCACGTGACACTAGTAACACGTCATGAAATTCTAGAAGAATCATGTCTGTTCCTGGCAACTCTAGTCTTTTCTGCGTG